TGCAGCAGCAAACGAGCAAGAAGTGAAGGCATTTCATGCTATTTCAGGTCACTGAGATGACAAAGGTTTGGAGAACTGCTTGGCTTTTCCTTGCAGGAAGAGGCTGAAGATGAAGATGCTCCTTCCGAGCAGATCCAGGCCAGGGGCTTCTCTTCAAACTTCCCAAGCGAATCAGGACCACTCCAGATCAAGGTCTGAGGGTGCCCTCAGCTGTGACAGACCAAAGCTGTTCATCCCCATGGCTACCTCTGCCAGGAGGCAAAAGCCAGCAACTGTCCCTCGAAAGGCATTTCTTCAGCCAGCAGCCTTTAAAGCTACTTCTCCCACCCTGCTTAGCAATATTATTCCCTGTCTGCTACAGTATCCTGCCCTTTGATACAAGGATGCCAAAAAAGTATTTGGGAAAACCACATATCCAATATGGGATAATCACATTTAATGCACAGCTTAACCTTGGACAGCTCAGGGCTGCTGGGGCGAAATCTGTGCAGCCCTTTCATTTTGCACAGTCTTCAGGCACCTGGTCCATTAGTGAATTTTTCAGAGCTATGTAGGTTAAAACAATTCAATGAGAAAAACAGAAAGAAGCAGTCAAAAGAAGAAAAACCTAATTTTTGAGCAGACATACACAGTAGGTCAAATGGCCTAAGGGAAATATTTAATTTTAGAGTCATACTATTTCTACCAAGTTTCCTAACCAAAAGTATTTTCATCAGGAGCACTACTCTTGATCTGGTTACTGCTAATGATTTTCCCCATGGACTTAGCTCATAAAAACATAAATTGCTTTATGAATCATAGAATCATAGAAGTTGGAGAAGAAAATGATGGGTTAGGTCATCGTGCCCTTCTCTCTGACGGTGCAGTATTATTTCTTTTTATAAAAAAAAAAAGAAAAGAAAGAAAGAAAGAAAATAAGCATTTCTGTAAAGCTGGAGAATGAAAATACTAAGTTAAAAAGAGATTTTCAAAATACATAATGAAGACAGTGGAGGAAGAGCCAGATTTTTAAGTACCTTGGCTCTCTCTACAAACCCTGAAAATTTGATGAGAAGAATCATCTGGATAGGCACAGTCAGAAATTCAGTGGAAAAAAAAAAAAAAGGCAATGCTGTAAGCAACTCACACAAGTAATTATCACAGTTGTAAATACAAATATTTGAGTTATATTTGCAAATAGGCTGATGGGCAAAGAGCCGCCCTTGGACTGTACATTGTGACCAACTGTACGGCATGGCATGCAAGAATCCACAGTCTGAAAACCAAAGAGAGGATTTGGTTCAGAGAGGGGTGGTGCACATGTACAAGGATACACATTGTGCTATAGTTGCCTATTGTGACATCTCCGCACGTCAGAGTGAGCCAAAAAGTCTATGCTTTGTATGCCTGCCTTCAGAGCCCTTGGTCTGAGCATTTTTCTGCTTGCCAAGAATGGCTTCAAATGATGCTTTATATTACTTTTTGAAGTTTTTGTTTTTTATTCTCCCAAACATGCATAGCTTAAGAAGCTGTCCTCTATCATTAAAAAAAAAAAAAAGATTTTAGACTCCTTTTAATTCTAGCTTAGAAACTGCTCTGATTCTGTCACTCTCTAAAGACAAAAGAATGTGTTTCTATTATTTCTGAAGTTAATATGTCTAAAGGTTTGGTGTTTCTTTTTTTTTTTTTTTTTTCCTACAACCTACTAATTTTGCTGAAAATTGTTCTGTTACAAAGCTCTAACTCTTATCTCGAAAATGGCATCTTACCTGCCAGTATTTTTTACGGGCCATGTAGATGCTCGTTAGAATCCAGCCTATCTACAAACATAAAGTAAATGAATCAATGTTTGTTACTACAGTTGGCTTTGGAAGTAAGCATGGTTTCTCCAGAGGTCTGCAAGACAGCGGTATCTAATTTTGTTCCTACTGCTCTCTTTCCCACATTTCTTTTGAATCAGGATATCTTAGAAAATACAGGTCAGTATTTCTGGAATTCCTGCAGCCCAGGTGAGAGACTGAGTCATGGATCTGTATCATAGAATCATAGAATCATAGAATCACAGAATGGCCTGGGTTGAAAAGGACCACAATGATCATCTAGTTCCAACCCCCCTGCTATGTGCAGGGTCGCCAACCAGCAGACCAGGCTGCCCAGAGCCACATCCAGCCTGGCCTTGAATGCCTCCAGGGATGGGGCATCCACAGCCTCCTTGGGCAACCTGTTCCAGTGTGTCACCACCCTCTGTGTGAAAAACTTCCTCCTAAAATCTAACCTAGGCTCCCCTGTCTCAGTTTAAAACCATTCCTCCTTGTAGGCATGGAAGTTCCCAAATATTGATCAGCGATCTAGAAGCGCTTCTCTCCCAGCTTTATTTTTATTCTAGCCTGCATGCAAGAAGGCTGATATCATTTTAAATCCATTCAGTACATGGCATGCATGTTCTGATACGTTCAACCACAAATCCTGTGCAGGTAACAGCCACACTATCTATTTTGGTACATGCTACAGATGTACCTTGATCTAATCAGAGCAGTGCAGAACAGGATACACCCACTGAGGGGATAAAAAAACCACGTATAGCCCCAAACAGCAAGTCTCTTTCAGAGACATAATGGTTATTTTGAGAGAATTCATTCTGAGTTTAATTACTAAAAACTGCTGAATGGACAACAGTTGGGAAAACTGAGCTGTGGTCAGGGTTGTTCCAAACGTGAAGAACAAGAAAGGGAGAAAGGTCTGGGTACCACTTTTTTCTTCCTTCATAGCACTTCATTCCTTCAAGCCACGTTAATATTTCAGTCAAACATAGAATAAGGACAGCAGAGACCATACTGAGCTTGGAGAAGAGAAGGTTTCAGGTAGACCTCACTGTGTCCTTCCAGTACTTGAAGGGAGCTTGTAAGTAGGAGAGGGAGCAACTATTTAAATGGTCTGACAGTGATAAGGCAAGACGGAATGGCTTTAAACTAAAAGAAGGGAAATTTAGGTGAGATGTTAGAAGGAAATTCTTTCCTCAGAAAGCAGTGAGGTGCTGGCACAGCTGCCCAGAGAAGCTGTGGTGCCCCATCCCTGGAGGAGCTCAAGGCCAGGCTGGATGGGGCCCTGGGCAGCCTGAGCTGGGCGGGGGGGGCAGCCCTGCCCACAGCAGGGGTTGGGGTGGGTGGGCTTTGAGCTCCCTTCCAACCCAAACCATTCTGTGATTCTGTGATAGCAACAGCTGCCACAGTTCCTAAGCTGGTGAGAAGTCAGCCTACAGGACCTTGCAGCCCATTTAGAAGTGAAAGGAGCAGAATCCCTTCCACATTGCATCATGAGTGACTTAGCAATAAAAGGAGCTGTGCACTCCTGCCAAGGAGCTGACCTCTGCTCATGGCACATGTAAAACCTCCTTGAGTACGGGACTCCTTTGTACCTCTGGCTTGCCTATTACAAAATGAAATCATTTACAAGGAAGCTTTTACATACATTTGAGTCAGGGAGATACGACTTCAGTATATATTATATTTCTACTTCCTTTTTAAAATGTAGAATCTTATTAAATATTAACTACTATACCAACTGAAGAATTGATTTAAAACAGTAGGGTATGCCTGCAGGATGATTTTGTGTCTTACTATTCTAGCAGACTTATATTTAAAAAAAAAAAAAAAGCTTATTTGTTGTATGCAAACTGTGAACACATCCAGGTAATTACACATGCAAACCTGGAGCTTGCATATACAAATATCTATTTTATGTGCACAGCTGTGAACCTGGTGCCTGGTTCACGAGGGATATTTTTCAGGGACAATTTTTTCAGTTTAAAGAAAAAAAAAAAAAAACAACACAAATACAGACTAAAGAAGAAGCATTATCCTGGCAGCATTTTAAAAATATACGTAAGTCAGTTTTTTTCCATTGAATGCATGCAGCATCGTGATGCAACTCAGGCAAATGAAGGCTCCATTAAAAAAATGCATATGAAAGTTAGCAGTTTTTCTAAGTTATTTAAACTCAAGTTGCAAACTCTTCTTCTCTTGCACCACTCAGTTAAAGTAGCCCCGAGCTGCATGTCTCATTCCCTAGTGGGTGTTTGAATCTTACTGCTTTCTTCTCCCAGGACGACTCCACTTAAGCAATAGCCAGAACTTCTGCCAAGTGTGAAGGAGGAGTGAAAAACTAACCACAAACCTCAACTTACATCAGGGCATTTTGATAGAAATATGAAAATTCCACATTCTGAGGTTAAAGATTGCCTGTGGTAACAGGCAGAGCATATGCCAGAGAAGCACCTACGTCTGCCTACCTGTGCAACCCTTGCTTCCCCCAAAACAAAGCACCCTTCCTCCTCTAACCTAATGAAAACAACCGCATGCGTGAACGGTGTGGATATTCCCCTGGAATATCAAATCATTTGTCTTCTCCTTAAGCTTCATTCTTAAAAAAGAAAAAAAAAAGGAAAAAAAGGAAACATTGCCTGTCTGTGAGAATGGGTGTCCCACTGGGATAATTGCATCTGCTTGTTGGAAGCATCACTCTCAGCAATTACTACTTTCCCAAGTTGGAATGAGGCACAGTGAACTCTACAAGGGAGAAACCAGGTGTTGCCTCTCAGGCATTTATTTATGTCTGCAGGGTGGCTGAGCTTGAAAACTTAGATCGATGACGTATTGGTTTCCAATACTTTAAAACCCTCTTAGCATCTGAAAGATGAGACTAGCAAGAAATGATGCATAAGGTATGTGCTGCCCACCTTTCACCAACATGCCTTTTGTCAGCTTTTGGGTACAATCCAAACCATCCTTAAGTAGATACTTTATAAATGCAAAGTAATTCATATTCTAGATCAGCTGGACACCCATGAAAAATAAGCCTTCAGGAAGGCATAATTAAAACCACTCATAGGACAGCCTTGGCTTGAGGCACACCCACTGATCCACATGCACTGGGTGCTGCTGCATTGCATACAGCTGGTGATGGTATGCCTGAGCTAAATAATCAACATGACTTTCTGCAAATGCTCTTTTTAGTTCACTTACTTCTGGGTTCGCGTGGTCCATCCACCGTTATCTTGATGGCTCTGTGGTACGTGGCTACTTGTGGAGGGTTTGTGAAGACTGTGATAGTCAGTGTGAAGCTTTTCCCTGCAAGAGGAGAGAAGGTTACTGAACACATGTACTGAGAACAGGTTGTCTTTTCAAACAGAATCAGAACACACCAAATGACACTAACCACTAGCTGTCCGTATCTGCAGACAGATATGAGGCAGCATGGGCTCACTGCTGTCTGCTGCTGGATGCATTCCCTTCGTGGCAACTGCTCAAAGCATTTGGGAAAAAAAATCAATTTATATGTAAATGTTCTACACTTTGTTTTCAAAATAAAGAGGTTACCCTTAACAGTTACAGCTTATCTGATCTACTAGACTACTGGTGCATTATCTGAACTTTTGAAAGGCGGTTATTTCAGAGAGGCTTAGAAATTGTGGTCGACTCTTCCAAAACTGCCACGGGAATTTGATCAGAAATGCTTGTAAAATTAAAGAGAACTGGGTACTCAGGTCCCCGAGGCGGATCGTAAGATTCCATGCTTTGTGGTTGAAGCTACTATTAGATCAATTCCCTATTATGAACCAGAATCCTTTAAAAATAATCTGCTACTGCAATGCCGAGAAACAAGGGAATGGAAAAAATTAAAAAATCCCTACAGCCTGTCCGCAGAGAATTAAAACATTTTATGAAGACGTAGCAGAGCATTACGCTCAGTTTCTCTATTATTCAATAAGAAAACTGTGAAAACCTTTTCAAAACTGTTGTGCTCATGCCACAGCAATGAGTTCTGAAAAGTGCCCATTTGGATAGCTGCTGGGGAGGTGGGATGGTTTCGTACGCCCTGTGACCATGAGGCATTCAAATCCTGCTACCTCTGGATTTGGTTTTGGGCAATGCTAATACTACTCCAGGTATTTTTTTCAGTAACAAAAGTAATTTTCTTTATCTTTGATAAGATCTCGTGTTTGTATTTATCATGGCTTTGGCCTGGACAGCGATAAAAACATTGGCTGTTGGCAGGTTTGGCATCCTTATCTCAGCATCATGGAGGTATCAGATACTGGTATCTTCATTAGCAGTCAAAGACAGTAAAGGCCATCACCCCAAGTTAGATTACCAGGAACTGTTGTAAGAAAATTGAGGTTGTTCTCCTCCGGGCACATACAGTTCTACCTGTTTCATTTCACTGCCTGGCTCCAGCCCCCCTGAAAGCTGAGCCTCTTCCCTTTTAAGACCTCCCATTTTTATAATTTGCTTGGTTTATCTGTATAAATATAAATGTAAATACAAGTATAAATGCTTGCCTCTAGCAGCAACATTCCCCCCCCACCCCCCCTTCCCTATGCACATTTACTTGCAATTCAATACTTCTCTTAATGCAGTTCCTACTTTGGTGCTAATGGTCTGAACATCACAGCGGGCACACACACACATAACTGTTACTGGAAACTGTCCTCATCACAGCCCAGTGAATTAGAGAGGCATTCTCCCCACTTTACGGATGAGGAACTGTGGGGAGATAAAGTGTCTTGGCCAAGATCTAACAGGAAGCCAGCCTGTGGCCAGCGATGCTAACCACTTTGGCTGCTGCAACTAAATCCGACAATAATCCTGAATCACAGCCCTGAGAAAACAGAAGCTGAAACACAACCCTGCCAGACTGCAGGCCACTATCTTCCCACCTCCACATCCTCACTAGAAAGCACTCCCTGAGATCAAAAGAACTACATCAGCAGCAAAAACCCTGTTTGAGGGCCGTCAGCCCTCAACTCTTGGGTTCTGCATCTACCAAGACAAAGGATCACCATGTTCCTGGCTATTTCTAGATGCTAAATTACAAGATAAAGCTTCATTGATGTTTTCACACTTGTAGACCAGATTTTTCTATAAGGCAACAGGAATAAAGTTCAGTAAGCTTTCTTCTGAAAAAACTCTAATTACACTCATAGCATTATACTTAACAAATATCAGAGAGGCACCTGTAGATCTTTCTTCTAGCAAAAAAAAAAAAAAAAAAAAAATCCCTGTATTATTATATGCAACACCTAGATCACCAAGGCGTAAAAGACTGTCAAAATATATATTATTCCCTTTCCTAATCTGTAGCACTTTCATGTTGATGCCAGTTTTATTTTTTGACAACTGCTGATGCAGTTGGTAAGGTGCTGCTACTGTTTTGCTAGAATATGTAGTCAACTGATTTTTTTCCAAGGCCCTCATGGTGCTTCCAGATAGAAAAAATGCAGAAAAAGAAGATATTAAGATAACTAACTTCAGGAAAATGAGGCCACATCACCAGTCTATGAGACCAGAATGAAGAAGAGGGGAGTGAAATTACTTTCAAGATCTTCTACAGAGCAGATGGGACTTCAGAACCAGTTTAAGGTTGTGATACAAGCTGGCAAAAGCAGGAAGATGCTTAGCTTACTTCTTGTTGACAGAAGAGTATTCATTAACCACATACTGGTTAACCACAGGACTATATAACCATAAACCTATGTGTCACTCATTGCTGCTCACCAATAATTCTGGCTGTGTTTTCCTCTGGTGCTTCTGTTTCATTTACGTTTAGTTTTATTAAGTGGTTTTATCATTTTTAGTCATAGCTTCTACATTATTCATTTGTATGTCTGGTTGACAAAGGTAGGTTTAGATTGTAGGTATTGTTAGTGAAATGCATGTTTTATGGATGTACCTGCTTTGGGATGATAGTACATCTATAAACAATAAAGGAGCAGGTGCCTCTAAACCTGTCAGACAGCCTGAGTGAAGGACCAAGCTGAAATGTTGGCCTGGCTCAGATGCTTCAAATAATCACAATGACAATTTGCTTATGGTCCAGAAAGGATAGCAAGTTAGCATGTAGCCTTTCACTGACTAACACCAAAATCTGAGATCCTCTGGTCCCATAAAACTACAGAAAATCACACATTCTGGGAGTCTCTGCTGATGGTGGAATGCTTGAAAGGCAATGTCCTCACCAAGCTGTGCCTTGCTGGGTGCAAGAGTGCTTTCAGAGACTGCTGCTCTCCACAACTTCCCTGGCAGCACCTATTATTAGCCACAGAACACCTGCTGAGCCCAAACATTAAATTCCCCTGATGTGGGACAGAGATCTGCCATAGAAAATCCTCCCGACAGACATCACACATCCCCTCACATGCATAAGGAAAGAGCACAAGACTCACTGCTTCCATCGAGTCTTCCCACATAACTAGGATGGGAAAAATTGCCTGGTAATGTTTATTTTGCAGGAGCATTAAAGTCAGTACTTGTTCAGAAAAAATAATGGAAACAGTAGCAGTTCAGGCTAAGATACAACACTCACTTCTGAAAGAGAGACTGGAGACTGTCAAAGCGCTGGTTAGAGGCTGGACTATCAATTGTGCCTTCAAGAATTGCTGATGACTTGACAGCCAAAGTCAGACAGATTAAACCAGTTGTCCCCAGTTTTTTACTTCACACGATTGCTTACAGGATCCCTTGATGCTGTGCAAAGCTGTAAGAACTTAAGAGCAAGTGCAGAGCACAATGCCAGCCAGCACCTGCTCAGCAATACTGCTCCTCAACCAGCAAAAGGCAAAGATCAACCTCCAGTTCCCAGGCATATGAAGGTTGTGCCCGTGCTGCATTGCAACACAGCAACCTGAACTTTGCATTCAGCTGTATCACATCTGTCTGAGTCTGGAAGCAAAGAGAGCCATGAGCTCACACCTGGCAGAGAGAGGGATTTATGTCACTCGTCCCCCAGAACAGTCCTGCACTGGACTGATGGGCTCTAGAGGGAGCAATAGGCTTGTAAACTACGGCCCCTGGGAATGTCCAAGAGGAAATGAGGGGGAAAAAATGAATCCTAAGTGACTACATGGTCACATGAAGCTCCTGTGTGCTGCTTTAGTCAACTCTAAGCAGTGTCATGGCCAAATGCAACTGTGGGGCTGGGGAGGGGGGGGGAGAGAAGGCATGCTTACTATCAATGGCTGCATGGGCAGATGCAAGGGGGAATGGGAGCAGACAGTTTGGGGAAGACAATCCACCCCCCAAATATACCCCTTCACTTTAATCCATCTCATAACTACACAAAAAGATTGATTCCACTGAAGAAGTATCAACCAAATGAGGACAGAATGAAAACGGAGTTAAAGCTTCAGAGGTTTGTACACATGGAAGGGAGCCAACAGATGCTGTGATCACACTGCATTTTGCTTTGGGGATTTTTTACTGCCAATCATAGATGTGCCATTAAAGCTTTTGTATATACATATATAACAAGGGAAAATGGTTTTAAACTGAGATAGGGGAGGTTTAGGTTAGGTATTAGGAGGAAGTTTTTCACTCATAGGGTGGTGACACACTGGAACAGGTTGTCCAAGGAGGCTGTGGATGCCCCATCCCTGGAGGCATTCAAGGCCAGGCTGGATGTGGCTCTGGGCAGCCTGGTCTGCTGGTTGGCGACCCTGCACATAGCAGGGGGTTGAAACTAGGTGATCATTGTGGTTTTCAACCCAGGCCATTCTGTGATTCTATGACTATGATATATATTTTAAGTCATTAAGGTAAAATATTAGATAAAACAGAAGAAGAAGGGAAAGGAGCCAAGAATGCTTGTGCTGATAAGGAAAAATGGCATGGATGGAAAAATATGTAATAAAAAAATGCAATGCAAATTATATTACAAACATTTCTATTATATCAGTGAGAGACTTCCAGATCTTTGTAAAAAAGATTACAATGCTATTCTTTTCATTCAGCTTCTACTTTTTAGTATTTATGCACTTACTTTTATTAAAACACACTAAATGATCCATTCTACACATCTTTACAATTTCTCATATCTTCCTGGGTGTCTGCCAAAGTAAAGCTATCTGCTGTGCTTTAATAACTTATCAGACAGCAGGAAGCTGGGCAGGAAGCAATGCAAACACACATATTCACTCTCAACAGTCGACTGCTGTACACTGGGGCCAAATTTTGCCATTTTTCTCACTTAAGGCACTTTATATCTTATTAGCTGAATAATTCCAGTGTAATCGGTAGCGTGAAAAGGGCCAACATAATTTGACCCTGCATTAGTTAACTGTTGCTCATGATAC